ATTTTACAAATTTGTATTTACAAAAATTTAAATCAAATTTATGAATATAATTACAAAAATTACAATTTTCCTACACTCAAGTGATTTGAATTGGTACGTTTAATATTCTATCAAACACTTTATAGTTGAATAGGGTAATATCAAAAGACCATTCATTAGTTTAATTACATAATAATAAATATTATTAATAGGTTTAACAATTTTCGATGCAGAAAGTTGTGGTATTATTAATAGGCTTAACAATCACCGATGCAAAAAGTAGTGTGATATCATATAGCTGTTTGCTATGTAGCACCGATACGATACGCGACACGTGACACGATACGACACGACACTCTGACACGTCAATCCTAAAAAATTATGGATTTCGACACGTTTTAATATTAAATAATATTTTTAATTTATATAGTGTATATTTCATTTAATATTTAATAATTTAACAAAAAAATGAAACTAAATTAATAATACCCATCAACACGTTATAAAGATGGAAGCTTTAATAAAAAAAATAAGAACTGGGATGAGAGAGAGATATAATATCAGATAGAGAGATCAAATCATATTAGAGAGAGATCAGATAGAAAGAGATACAACAAGAGCGTGATAGGAATTGACAACAATGATGCTGAGATTATCATTTATCTACTTAAGGGGAAAAAAGACAAAAAAAGAAAATTGATATGATCAGGTGGAAGCTTTATTAATATATTTTAATTTTTTAAAAAATATTTTTTTAAAAAAAAAATTACGAAAATACCATTTGACCGTGTCGGACACGGTCAAATTCGCTTGTCGGAATGGTCAACGTGTCGGAAAAAGTTGACCGCGTGTCCGACACCGTGTCGGAGCGTGTCGCAGTGTCGGACACGACTCTCCCTGTTTTTACAAGTGTCCGTGCTTCCTTGGCTGTTTGACAACCAAAATTTAAACTTTTTTTTTCCACCTATGAAGTTTAAATTTTAAATTTAAATTATTATTTATCAACTATAAAATATAATTAAAAAGTATATATATATACATATATGTGTGTGTGTGTGCGCGCGCATTAGAAACACGGTCATTAGAAAAAACGTAATTAAAATACTCTGTTTAATCAAATTTCAATTTTTGATAATTTCAGCTTTTGCTTTATACTCTTTTCCCACCTATCAAGTTCAAAATTCAAATTTAAAAAGTTTGAATTATATACATTAAATATTTCCCCCAATAGATATAATAAATAATATTACTAATATGCTTAACAATTTTCTATGCAAAAAGTAATGAGAAACATTAAAATAGTCTGTAAAATACTTAATGGCAAACATCTTTTTACGATGCAGGAGTTGAATGGTCAGTGGTCACTGAATGGTCATTCATTTTTATATTTTATTTTTTAAAATTATGATAGATATAATTTTTTTAATTAATTTTACATATTATTTAAAAAATAATTTTATTATCTTTTAATTTATAATTTTTAGATTAGATTTACATATATATATATTTAAAATATTTATGTTAATTGTTTTTTTTAAGAAAATAATATTTTTTTATGCAGCCTTAATATGGTTAACAATTACCCATGTAAAAAATAATGAGATAATATCTACAAAAAAAGTAATGAGATAGTAAATGAGCTCTCTGCCACTAACAATTGTTCAAATGTTTTCCCACCACTTAAAATTCCAATTCAAAATTTAAATTCAAATTGAAAATTGAAAATTAAGATTTCAGAAAGCAGTGAGATATTATTAATTTGAAAATTACAATGCAAAAAGTAGAAGGACATTAAATGAGTTGTCTGCCACCAACAATTGTTAACATATTTTCTCAATTGAATTTAATTATAAATCCGATTTTATTTAATATATTTCATTTTATTATTTTTTACCAAAGAAGGAAATTTTTAAATATTTTGTAGTGCGAACACAAAGCTAAAAGTGAAGGAAAAAATGACACGTCAGCAAACTTGCGAAAGAATGGCATTCCTTTAGAATATAAGATTTTTTTTTTTTGAAAAAAAGTAATTTTTTGAATTACACTGAATCAAGGTCAATAAAATTTCCAACTTTAAATATCTATCCATAAGAACTAAAAGATTGAATCAAATTTAAACTTTTTTTAGATTTAAATCGTAGGTTGGGATGTTTTTAGTAGTTACAGATTTTTTTTTTAAGTAAATATTTGAATTCTACTGAATCAAGGTCAATAAAAACCCAAACTTTAAATATATATCCATAAGAACCAAAAGTTAGAATCAAATGTAAACTTTTTTTAGATTTTGTTGTTGTTGATAAACTACTTTTTTTAGATTTAAATCGTATATGGGATGTTTTTAGTAGTTAAAAATTTGATTTTTTTTTGAAAAAAAGTAATTTCTTAAATTACACTGAATCAAGATCAAAAAAATTTCCAACTTTAAATATCCATCCATAAGAAGCAAAAGTATGAATCAAATTTAAACTTTTTTTAGATTTCAATCGTAGGTTGGGATGTTTTTTTTTTTTTTTTGAAAAAAAGTAAATATTTGAATTCTACTGAATCAAGGTCAATAAAATTTCCAACTTTAAATATCCATCCATAAGAACCAAAAGTTTGAATCAAATTCAAACTTTTTTTAGATTTAAATCGTAGGATGAGATGTTTTTAGTAGTTAGAGATTTTTTTAAGTAAATATTTGAATTCTACTGAATCAAGGTCAATAAAAACCCAAACTTTAAATATATATCCATAAGAACCAAAAGTTCGAATCAAATTTAAACTTTTTTTAGATTTAAATCGTAGATGGGATGTTTTTAGTAGTTAGAAATTTGATTATTTTTTTGAAAAAAAGTAATTTCTTGAATTACACTGAATAAAGGTCAAAAAAATTTCCAACTTTAAATATCCATCCATAAGAAGCAAAAGTTTGAATCAAATTTAAACTTTTTTTAGATTTCAATCGTAGGTTGGGATGTTTTTTTTTTTTTTTTGAAAAAAAGTAAATATTTGAATTCCACTGAATCAAGGTCAATAAAATTTCCAACTTTAAATATCCGTCCATAAGAAGAGCAAAAGTTTGAATCAAATTTAAACTTTTTTTAGATTTAAATCGTAGGTTGGGATGTTTTTAGTAGTTAGAGATTTGTTTTTTTTTTAAAAAAGTAAATATTTGATTTCCACTGAATCAAGGTCAATAAAAACCCAAACTATATCCATAAGAACAAAAAGTTTGAATCAAATTTAAACTTTTTTCAAATTTAAATTGTAAGTTGGGATGTACATCACATAACATTGTCATTGGTTGCACACGTTAACTGGAATATGGAACTCGTCGAGCATATTGTTTTACAAAAGACCTTTCAGTAATAATTTAAAAAAAAAATTAATCAAAGAAAAGATTAGATGCAGCGTTTTGATGACAAATGGTCCCCAAATTAAGCTTTTAATTATATTGGACGATTTCCAAAACCATTATTCCTCAAATTAAGCAACGGTCATTAAACCTGAGATCTAATTAATTCCTACGTTGAGTAAACAATAGATTAGATGCAACGTTTTGATGACAGATGGTCCCCAATACACCGTCGTTCCAAATTCAAATTTAAATTCAAAAAATGACAATGTAGAAAGAAAAGAAAAGAAACAGAAAGAAATAACGTGTTAAGATTTGTTGACATATAAATTTGCTTAGAAGTAGGATTTTATAATCGATATTTCCAAAACGATATGCTATCAGTTGTTACTATGTGTTTTTTGAATTATTCAATGAGTCAGATTAGGGGTGTTCATCAACCGATCCAAACCGATTCAAACCGCGGTGACCGAACCGAAAAACCGATAACCGAATAAACCGAAAACCGAAAAATCGAAAACCGAAAAAAACCCTCAAGTTTTAATTGGATTGGATCAGTTTTCGGATGGGTTGATGAAAACCGATCCAATCCAAACCGATCCAATATATTAATTTCCCTTTACCTACTTGGTCATTTCCCCAATCATAGCTAAAACATTTCTAAATTCAAGACCCATTAACCCATCAACTAAACCCAAGCAAAAACCTAGTCACATCTCATTAACAAAATTTCATCTGTGTAGAGCTTCATATCTCACTGTCCCAAAAAAAAAACTGTATTATTGTTCACTGATTTTTTGTATTTCAAAAAAATAATAATTTACAAAGCCAATATATACAAAAGATATTATTTGCACAATAATCATGAAACTAATTTAGGATTTTCAAAAAACCGAAAACCGATCCAATCCAAACCGAAAAAAATTGGATTGGATCGGATCGGATTTGAAAAAAAATTCAAACCGAATGGATGATTACATGATCAAACCGAAAGGATTGGATCAGATGATTTTTACTTCCAAAACCGATCCAATTCAGACCGCGAACACCCCTAAGTCAGATTATAATTTTTGTTTACTCAGTCTTTGTTTGAGTAAAATCGAACTTGTAAAATTAAACTTTTAAAAGACGAACCAAAACATAATCAAAGATTGGATTAATAAGGGGGAGGGATTAGGCCTGATAAGGGATTAGTGTGTATTAACATCGTTGGTCAATACAATTCTCAAAAATTAATATATTATTTTAATATTAATATATGAAAATAAAAATTAATTTTCTATATATTAAATTTTAAAATATTGAATATTTTTATTTTTATAAAAATTAATTTATTTTTTGGACACACTGATCAGTAGATTTTTATAAAAATTAATATCATATGACATTTTTTGAAGAATTATATAAATTTTTTATTAAAAGATTTTTTATTAAAATATTTATTTTTATCCTATATAGTATTATACAGTGCATTACCAAATACTCGATGATATTATTTTATACAATACCATGTCAAACGCTGAATAATATTAAAATTTAATTAAATCTTATACAATCAAACTTTATACTATCAAATTTTATACTATCGGACTTTATCCCACAGCAACCACCAGGCCCATGGAATTGTCAATATAAGGAATTGTCAACCCCGAGTTGACGGTGACCACCTTTCCCAAATCTGACAAAGAACCCTGATTTCATATTCCCTTTCCCTAAAATTTGTGCGTAACATTCTCTCTCCTACACAACAACTGTTTCGGCTGGGCTCGAGCCCAATTACCCGTTATTGTGTTCTTCATGTTCGTTCTCTGTCTCAACGACAATTCGATCTCCTGTTCAATCACCTGGTCAATGCAGGTACTATTTCGTAACACTATGATTCTCTCAAGATTCCCCCTCCTTTAATTTTTGATGAGTTTTGCGGGAAAAGAGGGTGAAACAGGGATATTGCATTTCATGGAACCCTAGTTTTTGTTTTTTAATTGAATTGGCATTCCGAGTTTGCGAATATTTTTTTTTTTGCTCGCTTGCGCGCTGATTTCGTCTTTCAGGTGACAATTTTGAATTTCGAAATCTTTTGCTTGCGTCTCCTCTTAGCCGAATGCCATTATCGTTTTGCTTCGTTGTTTTACATTTGAACTCACCGGTTCGTAGTTCAATCTGCTCTAGTTTCGCTGTCAATCACGCCTTTTGTTTTTGAGCAATGTGCGTTATATTCAGTGATGCAATTCTACTTACACTAATATTTGTGTGCTGAGGAACCACGCCAGCACTCGTTACTAAAATTTTACTTTATTTTAAGTAATTAGGATTGTTATATATAATTTAAACTAGAAATCTTTATTTTTTTTCATTTTATTGTGTCTTAAGTTAAAACCGCTATATTTGATGGTTTCCCAGTTTCTGTACAGTTATCTGGTTTTATTGTTAGTCAAACTGGTTTGAGTCCCTCTGTAAGGGTTATCGAAATTTTCAAGCACATTGGTAATGTAAGCGTTCGCCGTTCAGTCACTTTGTTGAGCTGTACATGCTCAGTTATCCTAGCAGTATTTGTATAAAGTTGTATATTGATTATAGTTCACGGTTATTGACTTATTGCAGATACATTCCAAGTATCTTATTTCCCGTACTTGTTTATGGTTTAATGGCTTGTCCTCAATAGACCCCTTACTGTATTAGTTGCTAAGAGAAAATATGGTGGAAGATACTCTATAGATGTGTTGGTTCAGTTAACATTGACTTATGGCGGGAAACACTAGATTTGATTTAAGTGCTGCCAGTCCAGAGGATAATATGTCACGGGGAAATTCTAAATCTACCGGGAATTTGGCTCCAGTAGCTCAGAGTTTACTGTTGGATCCAATAACCATGGGAGATAAAAAATATACTAGGTCAGGTGAGTTAAGGCGGGTCTTGGGGATATCTTTCGGAAAACCCCTTGAAGATTGTGCTCTTGGAACTGCTAACCTGAAGTCTACCCCTCCGGTGGTTACAGAGGAACTGAAACAGTTCAAAGCAAGTATTCAAGAGGCTTCTGTCAGGGCTAGGTAGTTTGAGGAACTTTATGGCAATACCATTAATTCTTTCATCAAATCATACCTCACTTCTCATTTAATATAACTTTTAATCAATTAATGTGTACTTGAGAGCTTGCATTTGCAGCATATATAACTGAATGTCTACATTTTAATTGATTTTCCCGTTTTTGGAATTAGGGTGATGAGTAAATTGTCCAAATTGATGTCTTTTACTTATTGGTTTATTGTCACTTAAGTAGTCATTATGTGCTGAAGGTTCTGAAATTTTAAAATTCTTCTCAGATATAGATCAAAAAGGTTGGATGAATCTTTACACAAATTGAACAAGTGTTGGGAGGCTGTGAACTCAGAGAAGCAACCTCGGAATATGTTGTTGCCAAATGAAAAGCTAAGTGGGTCACACTTCTCGAAGATGGGAAGTCAGACTCGGCGGAGCCCATCGGAGCTTTTAAATCAAAGACTAGAGGACAAGCCTAAGAATGTCATTCTGAATAAGCGCATCCGTACATCAGTTGATGAGAATCGGGTTTGTGGCTCAGCATTTTTAATTCTTAGTTGCATTTCCTGTAGCAAAGCTGTGGTTCTATGACATATTAACTACCTATCGTTGCATATTTTTGTTGTAAAGCTTAGGAGGATAGAATTTCAATTTTATTGAACAGTAAAATAGAAGTACTCTAGTTTATCAGAATCAAATTTGATGGTGTGATGAGACATCTTCTCTTGATTCTGGAACCACTGTATTTCATTTTTGTTGCATGTGCTTCCCTGAAGAATTAGAAGACAGTCTATTGCCAATTGAACTGAATGTTTATGCTCCATGACAGCCTTGTTATACATACAAGTTTCAATACTTGCTGGTAGTCAGTCTGTTAGCCTCTTCTAGGGATATGATTCCCTCCCCCTTGGTTCCTCCTTTCTTGTCTAATGAAGCCTTCCTTCCTAAATACTGATTAGTGAAATTATGAAGATATCTAACATGGCCCATACTCAACCGCAACTGTAAAAATTCAACCCAATGTTAAAAATCAACTACATGGATCCTTGTCAAAAAGGCTAAGTTACAACGAAGGAATCACTTTAACACTGCTCCAAGCTCACACTAACAGATTAACTGATATTCTTAATTCTATTTCCACTTTCAATATATTTGCTGTAAATATCTGGGGGAACTCCAATTAAAATATTTTGAATTGTTTTGTGTAACTCATTGAAGTCTAATACTTATTTAAAGTCCCATTGATAACTAATTTTGCTTTGGTTCTCATCTCTTGGATAATGACTATGCTATGTTCCTTTGTTTCCTAATAGCTGCATATTTTTCTAATTTACTATTTAATTTACATTCATATTTGTACTCTATATTTTGTCAAACAACACTAGGCTGACGGACAAAGTATTAGCTCTGTGAGGAAGCCTATGGCCCTTGGAAAGGATAGAGACAACATCAAGAATGGTGGCAAAGGTTGTAATATTGTCGAAGAGAAGATTCGAAGATTGCCTGGAGGTGGAGAAACGTGGGACAGAAAAATGAAAAGAAAACGTTCCATGGGCACTGTTTTTTCCAGATCTATTGATGGTGAAGGCGAGCTGAAAAGGGTTAAGCAGCTAAAGCTATCTAATGAGCCTACTCTGCAGTCTTCGGATGCCCGAGGTTTTAGGTAACGCAAGTTTATGAAATGCTTTGATTTCTGATAGTGTCAAGAAATGACGACAATTCACGAGGTCTGGGAAATTATCTGACCAGCTGTAAAATGAATTGTGAAACATGTTAATTCATAACAAGTAAATTTATCATATTGAATTTAGGAATATATTGTGTTTATGCATTTATAAGTTCTTCCAACAAAATAACCTTATCGGAGAAGGTTAAGAAGCTATGAAAATGGGTAATAGTTGTGATGGACTGACTTCTGGATATGATATTACAAAGGAGCATTTAGTGGTGCTAGGTATTAGTATTCAGTAATATGTGGGATTTTTAAATACATTCTATGGCTTTTATTGTTTTGGTGAATGGCGTGGCAATCTATTTTGTGGATGCTGCTGCTCGTTTTGGGACCAGTAATTGAATGTTTCTACTTCCATGGTGTAAACAATGTAGAAGGAGAACCCTTATTTATTTGAATACTGAAGTGTCTTGCATGTGAGTATTATTACTTACTTTAACTGAAGAAGAGACTATCTACAGCTTTGTAGCACATATTTATGGTATAAAACTACAGATAATATACGGAGATGTGCAATAAACAATAACAAATTTTCATCTTTCGTACTATCTCCTTTCAATTTGTCACTTAAACTACTAGACAAAGTATACCTGCTTTTGTCTAAATTGGACGTACGTAATTTTTCATTCTTGAATTAAATCTGAAATGACATTCATGGCAAGTTGATTCTTTGACATTCATACCCTCTCTCCTAAAAGCTCAAGTGCCTAACCACATACATTGTGGTCATATTTCATGATTCAGTAGCTTTCTTGCTTTTACAATTTATTAGCGAGAGGTTATGCTAAGTAAGGTTGTTATGATCTTAAGATATACTTTTGGTATGCTATAACAGCAATCAATAAACTGCTTGCAACATTATGTTTCTTGCAGATCAGGATTTTCTAGAAGTAATAGCAAGCTTGATGTTGCTTCCCTGCCTGCTAGTTCCAATGCATGTACGGCTGCCAAGAACGAGCAAGAAAAGGTGTCAAGGGATTCAATAGATGGATCAAATAAGGAACGGACTGTACTTAAAGGAAACAAGTATGTATCTGCTCATTTATGTAGTGCCTTGCCTTAAGCAGCTTTTGTTTCTCTGATATAACATTATATTACAAGTTTATGACTAATCTCTTCTTATTTTTTTTCCCTTTTCTTTTTAGGTTTAATGTTCGTGACAACAATTACTCAGGTGGTATTTATACATTGTCAAAAGGCAAAGCTTCAAGGCCACCGCGAACTGGTCCTTTGATGGCTGGAAACTCAACTTCTGTAACTCGTTCATCTCAAACACTTGAAGCCCGGGAACAACCTTCAAATGTGAACAAGCCTCATTCAGTAAGCGGGACTATCAACCGTAAGCGTTCTTTGCCTACTGGATCATCATCCCATATGGATATGGCCCAATGGGTTGGGCAGAGACCTCAAAAAATTTCCCGAACTCGAAGAGCAAATGTGGTATCCCCTGTCTTGAGTTGTGATGAAGTGCATACCTTATTAGAAGGTTGTTCTCCTTCTGATGTTGGTACTAGAATGACTTCTCTGACAACTAGTGGAGCGCTTATTTCCAAGGTTGCTGTCAACAGCATTCAACAAGGTAGAGTGAAACATGAAAATGTTTCATCGCCATCCAGATTATCTGAAAGTGAAGAATCTGGTGAAAGTAAATCAAAGGTGAAAGGATTGGAAAGTAATGAAGCTGATGAAAGAGCCATAAATAATTCTTATAATATAAGTTCCTCAGTGTTAGCAACGAAAAAGAAAGATGGTCTCCGTAGACAGGGAAGGGTTAGTAAGGGTTCTTCAGTTTTGAAGATTGGCATCTCAACAATGAAAGAGAAGGTTGAGATTTGTACCTTGACAAAGCCAATTAGAAATATGAAGCCTGCTTCTATAAAGAATGGAAGGTATACATACTCTCTCTCTCTCTCTCTCTCCCTTCTGGTAACCACTACAATAAAGAAAATTGGTGGCATTTTTTTAAAATTTATGTCTTTGTTTCAGTAAATCAGGGCGTCCTCCTTTGAAGAAATCATCTGATAGGAAGGCAATCACTCGTCTTGGGAATCCATTGACTACTGATTCCCCAGATATTGCAGGTATATCTATACATTCATGTAACTACTAGTTGCATTAAAATAAATGGAATTGTTTACAATAATATACTTATACAATAAGCTTTTATTTACTTATCTGTTTATATCTATCTGTATACAGTAATATAAACATGAATGCTGCTTTCCGACTCCTAATTCTTTTGCTTGCTCCCACATTTTCTATACGAGCCTTCAATTCCCCTAATTTCCACCCTTAATTCTTACAAAAGAAAACTCTAATCATATGTTAAATCCCAACTTCTGCTGTCTTGCATCACTTACGCTTTCTTTCATATTCTTGCTCTGTTTCTAAGGGGATTTGCTATTTTTTTAGTTAGATTCTCACTGGTATTTCTGGAAAAAAATTTGAGTACAAGATTTATGTGATTGTGTAATTCAGTTTAAAATTTTTGTTGTATTGTAATTGATGTCAAATTAATTTAAGTATTGCAATACAGGTTAAGTTATCTAACAAAATTATTCTTACTCCTTAATTAATGTGAGTAGTAGATTAAAAAAAATAAAAAATGCAATTAAGCACATATGTTGTCCTTGCAACATAATGTTAGTTCTATATTATACTAACATCTGAAATGCCAGGGGAGTCAGATGATAACCGTGAGGAACTGTTAGCTGCTGCTAACTTTGCTAGCAATGCCAGCTGTATGTAACTAAACTCAAAACTGATTTGTGCTTTTGCAGTTGTATACCTGCCTCCTTTGGGGTGTGTGTGTATTTATGCAAAAACCTTTGATTTGTATGTTGCTTTGGGCCTTGGCAGATATTGGCTGTTCTAGTTTATTTTGGAAGAAACTGGAACCGTATTTTGCTCCTGTCAACTTGGAGGGCATAGCCTGCTCGAAGCAGCTGGTGGGTACTTTGACTTTATTTGTTTTTATGAAATTTATGTAGCCCTTAATGGATCTTTGATTTCCCCCCCTTTTATGTTATCCTTTGGATCAGGTTAAATCAACAGAGGTTGATCATAGATGTTTGTCTCAAATGCTTGGCCTTGGAAGTGATGCCCTGGTAATGTTTAAGAAGCTAAGATCTTATATTCACAGCATTTTGCAAATTTGATACCCTGTAACTGTTGATCGACATTCTACCTTTAATAATTTCTAAGGACCATTTTAGTCAGCGTGTTTCTTCATTTTGGCTGCCATCTTGCTTTGGCTTTCCATCTAGTTAGGGTAAATTTATCTTCTTGATTACGTACATGCAAAGTGAAAAAAAAAGAAAAAATCTTCCTTTGTGTCGGGAGTATCTCATTTTGATGCTTCTTTCTAACATAATATTCTTCCATTCTTTTGCATCATTTAGATTAGCCAATAAGGTGCATCTCATTGCATTAACTCGGTAATACCTCTTGTATAATATGATTAATAAAATTTCTCTTTCTGTCTTCATCTTATTTTATTTAGATTAGCCAATAAGGTGCATCTCATTGCATTGCATTATTGCCTGTTCTAAAACATGCTTAATTAAATCTCTCTCTCTCTCTCTCTCTCTCGCACACACACACACACTCTTATGCAGGCCTACTGCTAGGTTCTGGTCCATTTGTTATTAATGTGTCTCGTGTCATGATTAGAGTCATTATTCTACATTAAAAATCTGTGGAGCAAAAACCACTCCCCATTAAACCCGACTAGCGAGTGTGGGGTGAAGGAAATCCTTGTACGCAGCCTTACCCTTGCATATTGCAAAGAGGCTGTTTCCTGGATTCGAACCCATGACCTTTCAGTCATGAAGGAACAATTTTACCACTGCTTCGGTTCGTCCCCTTGAGCACCTACTAAAATAATAAATAAATAAATATTTGGATAAATTAAGTTTCTAAGTAGAAGGATACATGATTTGAAACATTATTTATCAGTCTTTTTTTAAACATATGCCTTTCCTTTAAATTCTCAGGATGGACCTGCGCATGCGGTCAACCTTCTGTCACAAAGTCCTCCCTCTAGAGAAAGAGGTCGAAGCATTTTGAATCAGACTGATTCAAAAGAGATATCCTCGGTGGTTGACAGGCAAATGGATTCAGAAGGAAATAAAGTTGCACCATTGTACCAAAGAGTATTGACAGCTCTGATCATTGATGATCAAACTGATGAAGAAACTGTGGGAGATGGAAATATGTCTTTTCTGTGTGAAAGAGATGATTCACCTCGGGTGGCTTGCTTCTCTCAGGATGTCGAGAACCAATCAAGTATCAGGACTGAATATGGATTCAACTCTGACAATATTTCTTGTCATGGGAATGGTACCTTTACTAGTGGCACAAACATCCATGATCATGAACTTGATGGTTTTTTGCAAGTGGATCAGGGAGCATTGCATCCAGAAACTAACAGGTTGCCTTTGTTATCTGAAAATGATGGTGGTGGGTTAATGGGTATGCATAGAATTTCTTGTTCATCATCTGTCAATAGCCATTTTGAGCAAATGAGTATGGAGGATAAACTCTTACTGGAGCTGCAAAGTGTTGGCCTATATCCAGAACCTGTGGTAAACTTCTAATTTGTGGAAACTGTATGAAAGCCAATGGTTTTCATAGTTTATTCATGTAGTAGGTTTTCAGTATGCTACTATGCTTCAATGACTGTCTTTCCTCTCTCTCTCTCTTTGATTTTCTTTGTTTCTCTTCTATACATGCACCACTAACATGAAATTGGAGAGTTAGAGGTGTGAACTATTGATGCTCCTTTAGGTAACAGCTTTAACTTTTAGGATGACTGGTCCTTGGCATGGTTTTAGAGCCTCAATGACATGTAGTCAGAAGTTGTATTGTTTGCTTCCTCCATTCTTCAAAATAAAATTAAACTTCAGCACTGTAAACTGGGCCGGAGCATTGTCTATCATTCAAAGTCTGAATGACTATTGTGTGGTAGGTAGCGTTAGATTTGATATTCATGTGCCTCCACCTGACTTTATCATTTAGGATGACTGGTCCTTGACTCCTTGGCACAAAGCATGATCTTTATATGTAAATGCTTGCATATGGCCATTATGTTTAAAGAGTTCACTGTGTATTGAATATGGTTTATTTTGTTACTTTTTTCAATCAATGCATCTGCTACTAACTGATATCGTTGTGGTTGTCTTGTAAAAAAAAAGCCTGATCTCGCTGATGGAGATTGTGAAGCTATTGATCAAGATATTATTCAATTACAGAAGGGACTCTTCCAACAGGTTTTGATTCTCTTGTTTTATGTTTGATAATTAGCTGAAGCATAAGGAAATTAATTGTTAAGGGGGGAGAATCTGCTTGTGATTTTAGTTATTCTTGATTTATTTATTTGCATGATAGTTGTCTATATCTGACTGACCAATTTGCAGGTCAATAAAAAGAGAGAGTACTTTATGAAGCTTACTCAAAGAGTAGAAGAAGGAAGGGAAATGGAACAACAGTACGATATTTGATATTTTATAATTTATCTTGTTCAGTTAGTTGTTTATGCTTTTGATTTTGATAAATTGTTACAAAAGTAGTCTGTATGTCACGTATCTAAAGCTGACCCGCCCTAATAGCTAATCTGTATTCTGTTTAATTTGCAGAGCCCTCGAGCAAGTTGCTATGGATAAACTTGTTGAGTTGGCTTATAAGAAGAAGCTGGTAATTATTAGTTTTTTATTTTATTTTATTTGTGCTTATTTCCTTATGCTTATTCGATGAGTTAGTCATAGAATCAAGATGTGGAATTGAATTGAGTTATTATTGGACAGGTTAGTTGAAACATGTTATTTAATTCCATTGAAATGTGGCTTATTTTATTACAAAGTTCAGTGTATTTTTGTGCCTTGACCATGTCTTTGCTGTTTCTTCCCCTCTTCATGCTCCCCCTCCCATGGGTCTGTTAGGAAAGAGATGAGTTACTAAGCATGTGGCATGCGCTCTAGGTTATCCTTTTAAGGATTATGCTGTGATTGTGCTTTGGTCATGACTGATTTGCATTGTGAAATGACCCTCTATAATATTGATAGGCCACCCGTGGAAGTACTGCTGCAAGAAATGGACTTTCTAAGGTTTCAAGGCCAGTTGCTTTGGCTTTTATGAAGAGGACTCTTGCTAGATGCAGGAAATTTGAGGAAACCGGAGAAAGTTGCTTTTTGGAGCCTGTCTTTAAAGATGTCCTATTGGCTGTTCCCAGTCATGACAATTATGCTGGCTCGGTTGCTGCTGTAAATATACCGCTTACTCTAAATTCTCAGCAAGAATCTGCAGCATCAGGTTTCCCCTTTGAACCATGCTTTATTTGTTCTGGAAGTATTTGCTATGGTACTTATATACTCACAAATAATCAGGGCCGAGACCTCATGTTTATCAAAAAAACAATTTCCTTAGGCATTTTCCCTTTTGCTTCATTTATATTTATATCTATGTTCTTGGTTTCTAAAATTTATTTGATGGGGGGGGGGGGGAATAGTTCCGTCCTGTTTCTTATTGAGTAAAAAATTGGTCCTTGGCTCTTGCAGGTTTATTTCCTTGCAAGGAGCAGGATGTGTTGGGAAATCTGGATCATCCCTCCGACCAGGATTTTCCCAGGACTGGACCAATATTAAACAGAGGGAAGAAAAAGGAACTGCTACTTGATGATGTTGGTGCTAGTGCTTCTTTGAGATCTGCATCAATTCAAGCTAATTGTTTCATGGGTGGAGCAAAGAGAAAGAGGAGTGAGCGTAAAACAAAAGCAAAACCCAAACAGAAGGCAGCTCAAGTATCTACTTCTGGAAATGGATCTCTTAGCAAGTTGATGGAAAATACGAACTCTGAGCATCAATTGGCTTGTGGTGGCTCTAATGAATTGATTTCCATAGAACTTGGTGTAGCTAATGAATTCAATGGGAATCAAGACCTGGACTTTTGGTCGAACATTGAAGAGGATGATACGGTGGGCCTAGCCATACCAATGGATGATCTGTGTGAGTTGAACATAGGTCTATGAAGACGAATGCAGGATGCCCATTCTTTTTTTATTACTTATCATTATCTACAATACTAAAGATAGGGGCCCAAAGAAAGGGTTAAAGAAAAAGAAGGAAAATGTAGTCTTCAATTGTTCATATGATCCTTAGGTTGTAAGTAGTACATTCTTAACAAAATTTTGATCATCGTTGTTTTTTTCTCGTTCATTAGCTACATCAAGTTCTATGGAGTCTAATTCATGCAAGTTTGTATAGTCCATGGGTTCCTTAGTTTCAATGGCCAAATCATTATTATTGCAACCATGAGACACAGACCCAACTTTGCTTTGTCTGTTGCTACCACTGGAAATCAATCCATTAGAGCCACCACAAGCCAATTGATGCTCATAGTTAGTATTTTCCATCAACTTGCTAAGAGATCCATTTCCAGAAGTAGATATTTGAGGTCTTAGCAAGTTGATGGAAAATACTAATTCTGAGCATCAATTGGCTTGTGGTGGCTCTAATGGATTGATTTCCAGTGGTAGCAACAGACAAAGCAAAGTTGGGTCTGTGTCTCATGGTTGCAATAATAATGATTTGGCCATTGAAACTAAGGAACCCATGGACTATACAAACTTGCATGAATTAGACTCCATAGAACTTGATGTAGCTAATGAACGAGAAAAAAACAACGATGATCAAAATTTTGCTAAGAATGTACTAGTTACAACCTAAGGATCATATGAACAATTGAAGACTACATTTTCTTTAACCCTATCTTTGGTATTGTAGATAATGATAAGTAATATAAAAAAAGAATGGGCATAATTACAAGTGCCAATCATGAGAGGCAAGAATTGTATAAGCAGCTGGTATCCTGCATTCGTCTTCATAGACCTATGTTCAACTCAGACAGATCATCCATTGGGATGGCTTGGCCCACCGTATCATCCTCTTCAATGTTCGACCAAAAGTCCAGGTCTTTGATTCCCATTGAATTCATTAACTACATCAAGTTCTATGGAGTCTAATTCGACAAGTTTGTATAGTCCATGGGAATGGCCAAATCGTTATTATTGCAACCATTGGTTTCTGCACCAACCTTTTTTGTTTTTTTGTGTTTATTACATGTATGGGATCGAGATACATTTTTCTTTCATCATGAAAAACTGTTTTGCTTCATGTTACATGATGGTCACTTTTCCCGTATATATATAGAGAGGTGGTTGTTCAATATTTTAATATTTAATTTTGAACTCTTCGTCGAGAAAAAAACAATCACATGTGATAAAATTTAACTGTATTATTTAAAGGAAAAGTATTTTGTGAAATAGATAGGCTCTGTTTGATTACTGTTTTTAAAAATAGTTTTTTAGTTTTCAGAATAAAAAAAACTCGTTTAGTAAGGCTTATTTTGTGAAAAAAGTTTTAAAAAACTGTAATTATTTTTTTGTTTTTAAAATCAAATTTAGAGAACATGCCTGAGTTATTTTTGTTTTCTGTTTTGGTTTTTAACTTTCAAAACAAAAAAAAACACAGAAAACAACTGTTTCCATAATTATTCTACAAAATAGTTTTAAGAACAAAAAAACTAAAATACAATCAAACAGACCATATATCTTACACTCTCAAAATAATATCGTTTTGGGTCTAGGATAAAGAAATTGAGTATTTTGAAAATTTTATTTCTCTTTTGTATTATGAATTTAATTAAAATACTCCATTTTTTTAACTTCCAAACAATGTCATTTTAAGTTTGTAGAAATAATTTCATATCAGGAAAATCTTTAATCCATTATTTAAAGTTAACAAAGTGATATAAATATTTAAAAGATTAGGGGCATTATTTATTAAAAAATAGTTAGGTATATTTTTATTCTAAAGAAAACATTAGTAATGTTTATAAAATTTTTGCTTTTTAAATTTTTTTTTAGTGAAATACAAATGGTTAGTACTTAAAGGTTATGATTTTTTAATGTTAAGCAATTTTTTTTTTGAAAATTTAGTTATTATCTGTATATACAATAATAAATAAGAAATAGCATTTTTTTAATTGAATAATATTAAGATGTTATAAATAAAAAATTATAATAATAATAATAGTTTAATTATAATATTATTAAATTTATAAGTACTAGTTATCGGAATGCTTTATTACCGTTGATTGACGGAAATCAATAGTTACGATTTGATGTCCAATTTTAAAGTTTGATGTCGATGTCAAATGATCCTGCCTCATATATATATATATATATATATGGGATATATATATATATATATATACATGTATATATATATATATATATATATATGGGATAGGTTATTCTGCCTACTATCATTTTGCCTATCTTTATGTCTCCACATACTCAGGATTACCGTCTAGGTGGTACACCACATAGATATCATATGACACTTGCACTCAATAAAAAAGCTCAATAGCATCCCAGTAATCATCACATAATTTCATAAAAACACATAATGTATATAAATCATCCCTCCATGAGGTATGGTGGAACCAACAATGGGCAAAACTGAAGACACGAAAGCTTACCTCTCAAGCTATCAATCCCAACAAGATTCCACACCAGCCCAAGGTCACCAAACAACACAATCTGTTTAGACCAGAAACCTTATCAACATACATAATCTAGAAGTTCATTTCATTACGACAACATTTCCTTTTTCATTTCGTGCTCTAAGGCTTCTCCCAAAGCCATAAGCCTTTAATCTAAGTGATTCTGACTTAGTTAACTTATTACAGAGGTTCATATTGACTAATCAAGGGTCCAGAAACCCAATCTACACTTCTGTTTGGACAGAACAGTACAATCCACAAAATTTCTCAGAATATCCGGATATTCCTCAGGGGCATATCCGTACATTCATATCCGGATATCCATATCCTGATATCATATCCGGATATCACAAATCCCATATCCGGATATCAATATCCGGATATTTCGCGACAGAATGCAATTTTTGCATTTCGCGAAGATATCCCTCCAAGGTTCCGTTTTTAACACACTTAAACGTTAAAGCATGTATTTTTAAACCCCTTTAGACCAGTGTTCATGCTAGTTGCTTAATCATCTCATTTAACATGCCAAGACTTTTTCCTTTACATGAAAACTTCAAGAACAAGGGTGGAGATGCATACCAATGGCTCAAAACAGAGCAAAGGAGTGGTCTTGGAGCCTCCTACACAGCCTTACACTTCTGACTTCACAAGACTATGAATTTGTCTTGCAAGCTTGGTCCTTTTACATAGAAAAATACCTCCTTGAAGCTTCAAAGGTCAAGGAAATGGCTCCAACACCTCAACCCAAGAACTTAGCCCACAAACCTCCCCAACTCAGAAGTTGAAACTCATAATGGAGCACATCTCTCCCTCACAATGTTAGCGCACACATAGTCATGGTGTTTTGGTGAAGAAGGCATGAAAAAAGGTGATCACTTTGGGGAGTTTTTGAAGAAGAATGAAGGTGACGATGTGGAGAGCAAAGGCAGCAGCAAACTCACGTAGAAACTGATAGGAATTAGCTTAGGGTTTTGTGCATTTAGTATTTATAGGCTCATTAAACTAATCCATCGGTATTAGTGCTAATAGCTCCACTAATCATTTTAATCTCAAATTTCAGATTCTGAACCTAGCTATTTTTCTAAGATTTATCATATTTTTATTATAATTTTCGCAGCACTTTGCCGGTACGCATTTTTACGTAGCCGGTACCAGTCCCGACGTCAGTTATCATTATTAGGACTCTAAACTTTCTATACTTGACCTAGATATTATTCTAAGAATATTTATGTACTTAATATAATTTTGCGGGACACTTCATCGGTACACATTTATACCATGAAGCAGAACCGGTATTTGCACTTTTCGTCAGAAAAGCGACTTTTAGCATTATTAAACCCTTCTCATAATTATTTAAATCTTTCCATATTTATTCTACGTCAATTATAGAATTATTATTTAAACTCATAATTAAAATATTAAAATTCCTAATTTAACGGTGCGGGTTCTTACATTCACCCTACCTTTTAAGAATTTTGTTCGCAAAATTAGAGACGTACTTGTCCCTAAACTCGGGGTATTGTCGGAGAAGCTCGTCCTCCCATTACACTTTGACCATGGGAATGATCTTGCTCCTAAGCTTCTTCTCACCGCGATCAAGGATTTTGAGTGGTCCTACGGGAGTCTTTAAGTTCTCCTGAATTTTCATATCATCCGGTTGCACCACGTGCGAAGGATCAGCTATGTATCTCTGAAGCTGTGAAATGTGAAATATGTCATAGATGCTGGCCAAGTTTGGAGGCAAGACAAGCTGGTAGGCAACAGGCCCTACCCTACCAAGTATCTGGTATGACTCAATGAATCTAGGGCTAAGCTTCCTCACTCCGAGGGCCCGACCAACACCGGTGACAGGTGAAAGTCTCACAAACACGTGTTCACCCTCACTGAACTCTAGTGGCCGATGCTTGTTATCATAATAGCTCTTCTGGCGATTCTGCGCTTGCTTTTTCTTCTCTTTGATCATCCGGATCTGCAGGGTGGTCTCTTGGACAAAGTCCAGGCCAAATAACTCTCGATCTCCAACCTCCGACCAACAGGTAGGAGTCTGACACCACCTACCATATAGTGCCTCGTAGGGTGCCATGCCTTGGCTGGCATGAAAACTGTTCTTGTACGAGAACTCAACCAACGGTAGGTACCGATCTCATGCTGAGCCCTGCTCCAAAATGCAAGCCCTCAACATGTCCTCCAATGTCTCGATGGTCCGCTCAGTCTGTACATCAGTCTGAGGGTGATAGGCTGTACTCAATCTCAACTGAGTACCAAAAGCTTCCTGCAGCGCCTCCTAGAACCGAGACGTGAACTTCGGGTCCCTATCACTAATGATACTCTCGGGCACCCCGAGAAGCCTCACAATCTCGCGAACATAGATCTTGGCCAACTGCTCTGTAGTGAAGCTCACCTTTACCGGAAGAAAATGGGCAGACTTAGTCAATCTGTCCACAATGACCCAGATAGAAT